GGGAAACTACTTGGGTCAAATTCCGATTTTTATTTTCTTGCTCGTCACCAACACATTAGCGAAATCGAGCGAAGAACCTAACCTGCACACCACGAGACGAAAACAAAAAAGGAGAAAACGAAGAAAATAATCGAAAAACACAAAAAGACTCGAAATAAATGGAAACACACGAAAAGAAAAGAAACAGACCAAAACACTAAAGAAACGACCTAAATCAGGGGAGAAAGAAAGATAAAATAAACACGAAAAATGCAACAAAAATGGGACAAACACCACCCATGGGCTAGGGTGGGCTCCAACCCCAGGTAAAATAAAAAAAAAAAAGAGAAAAAAAATTATTAGAAGAGTTTAGTCATATAGCCCCATGTCATTTAATACCTAGCCCACATGTCCAGTCTAACAACAAAACCCAAATTAAATCACAAAATCATTTCTTTCCTGAAGGCCTTAGCCTATATGTGATCAGCCAACAATAAAAACCAAATTAAAATTTAAAACACCAACTCATTTATTCAGTAAAGGCCCAAACCAATTATGCACGAAAAAATAAGCTGGAGCATCCTTATTCAATTAGAAAACTTACAGAGATATGAATCGACTATCTATTTGTCTACCTTCATTCTCGGCTTCCTCATCATAGCCTGCCACAGCCAATTAGCGCCAATCCCGCCGGCACGGCCCTGACTTCACTCTTCTCGCCATTAATTCCATTGTCACGGACTCACGGCCCCGGCTTTCGTCCTCGCAGAGACGCTGCCACCGCCGGACCCAATTCGCCACGGCCGCCGCTAACCTCGTTGGTAAGGGTTTTCTACTTTTCTTTCGTGATTCTACTTCCCGGCTATTGTACTTTTTTTATGTTTCAGACTTTTAGTTGAACTAATTTAGTTGAATTAATTTACTTCTCGACTTTTGATTCTATTTCCCGGCTATTGGTAAGGGTTTTCTAAATTTGCATTTTTAAATTTTAAATACTCTAAAAGTTTTGTGCAGATGTAATTTAGTTAGGGTATTGGGGGTTATTGTCTTAGTTTAATTTGTAAAAGCTACTTAAAAAAGTTTAATTTATAAAAGCTACTTAAATAAATATAAAAGCAGTTCCATTACTTTTGATTTTTGCAATGTTGCCATTTTTGTTTTAATTTGATTATGTGATTGTCATGTAGTTATCAAATCAAGAAAACAATGATTCGATTTATTTGATTACGGGTGTTTTGATGTTTAATGGATTTTCGTTTTGTTCAAATTTAAGAAATTGACTTATTTTACTTGATATACTATTTATGTTGTTACTTGTTAGTGTTAGTTTTGGTGTTCGCTTGAAGTAATTAAGAATTCTGATTGCCCTTTGAATATTTTTAATTTTTATTATTAGTTTACTTAAATCACCTCAATACTTGATTAATTAACTATTTTTTGCTAACTTTATAGGTTTCAATCATAATGGAGGGTCAAGAAATAAAGAAAAGAAAAACTATCAATTTATTTTTTATGTCAAAAGAGCATACGTCGACAAGCCGAGATCGTCCTTCTAATGATGATGTTGCCACCTCTATTGATATGAGCTCTCTTGAACGTGACCCGGCATTGCGTACTCCAATATGGAAATGTCCCGTCGATCAAAGAGATGAAATGAGACGAGCTTAAATCAAGATGGGACCGTATCAACCTATCAAGAAAGAATATCCACCGACGCAATTCGGAGCTTAAAATTGGAGATTTCAAAGCAACTGGTTCAAGAAGTTCACTTGGTTAGAGTACTCTCCTTCTACGAATGCTGCATATTGCTTCCCGTGTTTCTTGTTTGAAAATAAATAAGCGCGAAATTCACCATTTACTACAGAGGGATTTAAGTATTGGACACGAGTTGATGACGGCGACAGATGCTCCTTCTTACAACATGTTGGAGGCCCTACTTCATCACATAATAATGTTGTAGCCTCTATTGATTGTTTGATGAACGTGCCTCGTCATGTTGATAAGCTAATCAATGCACAAACTTTAGAGGAGAAACAAAAGAATAGATTGCGGCGAACAGCAACTATTGAAAGCATCCGATGGCTCACGTTGCAAGAATGTGCATTAGGAGGACATGATGAATCTACATTATCACCTAATCGTGGAAATTTTATCGAAATGATAAAGTTCATGGGAAGAATGAATGGTAGCATTGGAGACGTAGTCTTGGAGAACGCTCCAAGAAATGTGAAGTATACTTCTCCAGAAATTTAAAACGATATTCTAAATATTCTTGCTCACCAAGTGAGATCCAAAATTCATGAGGAAGTTGGAGCTGCGAAATTCTGCATTTTAGTGGATGAAGAGAGATAATTCCAACAAAGAGCAAATGGTGATTGTGTTGAGGTTTGTCGATATTGATGGCTTTATAAGAGAACGTTTTTTTGCTATTGTCCATGTCCTTGATACAACCGCCGCGACGCTAAAGAAAGAAATATCGGATGCTCTAAATCGATATGATTTGCAAATTCAAAATATGCGGGGACAAGATTATGATGGCGCTAGCAACATGCGTGGCTCGTGGGGTGGATTGCAAGCTCTATTCTTGAAAGATTGTGCAAGTGCATATTATGTGCATTGTTTCGCGCATCGACTTCAACTAGCATTGGTTGCAGCTGCTGAAAAAGAGGTATCCATTTGGTTATTTTTTTCAAAATTGAATGCTATCGGAAGTCTTATAAATGCCTCTCCCAAACGCCATTGTGAGTTGCAAGTTGCTCAAAAAAATGAAATTGCACATATGGTAGCAATGGAGCAGCGTGATACAGGTAGAGGGTGTAATCAAGTTGGGAATTTGCTCAAGCCAGGAAAAACTCGGTGGAGTTCTAATTTTGATTCACTTTGTAGCATGATAGATATGTATAGCTCTGTGATTGTCGTATTGGAAAAAATGGTGGATGAGGGATCTTCTAATTCCATTCGAGGTGAAGCGAGTGGTTTTTTTATTGCAATGAAGTCTTTTGATTTCATATTCATATTAGATGCAAAAAATAATGGGAATTACAAATTTACTTTGCTGGGCATTGCAAGAAAAGTCTTTAGACATTTTAAGTGCAATGGACAATATTTCAACTACTAAAGAGTTACTTCTAACGTTGAGAGAAGAAGGTTTTGGTACCCACCTTCAAATTGTGAAGAAAGTTTGTGTCAAGTATGATATTGAGGTGCCTCAAATGGAAGCTCTCTATAAATCCGCTACACGCCGTTCAAGTCATCAAAGTGATTCAATCACAGTTGAACCTTATTATCATTTCGATGTATTTAACTCCGCAATAGATTTTCAAATTGAAGAGATAAATAGTAGATTCAAGGATGAAGCAGTTGAACTTCTTAAGCTTAGTTGTGCCTTGGAACCGAAAGAAGGCTTTAAATTGTTCAATGCGGATCACATTTATCGTCTTGTCGAACGTTTCTATCCTTTTAATTTTGATGCTCAAGATTTGCTCCATTTAAGATTGCAATTGAAGCATTACGAGCTTCATGTCATTACTAATGAGAGATTTCAAGACTTATCTACTATTTCTTAATTATGTCGAAGATTAGTTGAGACAAATAAGTCAAAAATCTACAACTTGATTGACAGGTACAACCGAAATTTCCTTTAAGTCATTTTTGTTAATTAAATACTACTATATTTATTCGATCTAATTTATTTAATTTATTTTTCAGGTCAATTCGTCTTGTTTTGACTCTTCTTGTGTCTACGGCAACTACAGAGCGAGCGTTTTCGGCTATGAAACTTGTCAAGACAGTTTTT